AAGCTGTTTTTGTTGCTTTTCTGGTAAAAGTCGCCCGTCGGACTTTTTCTCAGAAAGAAAACAAATCACTTCATAACATTTTCCATTCCTCATGCCTCCAGTTTGGTGTTTTATTTGCAGTTCTCAGCTACGTGTTTCCTGACCGTTGAGTCTGCCGTAGAGCTGCTACGGAGAGCCAAACGCGCTGCTGGAAAAAGTTGCTGCGCTTTTCCTTCTGAGGAGGTCTGAACTTGTTTTAACAGGTGTTTTCTGTCAGCGCACAGAAGAGAGGCTGTGTGTGTGTGTGTGTGTGTGTGTGTGTGTGTGTGTGTGTGTGTGTGTGTGTGTGTGTGTGTGTGTGTGTGTGTGTGTGTGTGTGTGTGTGTGTGTGTGTGAGGACAGTTTATTACAGTTTTAGCTGTCTGAGCAGAACAAAAGCCTTTAAGTGAAGAATCTTTACGTTCAGCTTCACCTGATGATGAAATCTGTAAATAAGCATGGATCTGTTAAACGTGTTAAACGTAGATGAATGTGAAAAACACAGAAACATCTCTTTAACCCTCTGCCCTCCCGTTGGTATTGGATGTGTACATTTTTGTTTTTCACACACACCATCTCTTTGTTTGTATCGAACTTTTTCATTATGAGATTCCAGGATTTTGATTTAAACGTAAACAAATCCCACAGGAAATGTTTTTCACTTACGAACCGTAAAAATCAGCTTTTAGGTCAAACTGCAGAGGTTTTACTGCGCTAGGTCTGCAGTTATGATCTTAAATCAGATGTCCAGCTGCATGTTTTTGTTTTTTCTGCAACGATAATAGAAAAAGACAAGTGGAAGATCCAGGAATCCAGTTCATTTGGGATGGACTATTGGAATTCATGGAAACGTCTGTTTATACCTGCGTGTGTGTGTGTTGTCTCTCGAGCCAGAAACTCCCTGTCCTTCATCTTCCGGTGTTATCGTTGTTCTGTCACAAAAACACGTTTTAAATAACACACTGATCACTCTGCCTCCTTTTCAATTCCTTCTCCTCCTTCAACTCTTATTATTTCAGTTTAAATTTCAACTGTTTAAATTGAAATTTTGTCAATCCCGGCGGGGAGAAGCTAAAACGGAGAGTCATCTGCAAACATGATGACTTGAACATGATTCCGTCTGTTTTACAGATTAAAATGTGAAAACAGATCACACCATTTAAAGATTTTATCAGGCAAGCTAAAGATTCACCAGAAACTCCTCCGGTCGTCGGGATCAGCCAAAACTCAAATCGGTGGGTCTGAAACAAACAAATGAAATATGTTTATTCCAGATTGAATCAGAAATGTTGGTTTCATTAAATCTGTGTTCCTCCACGTTGTTAGGGAGACTGGACTTTAGTTTAAAGTGTTAGCAGCTGTTCAGCGACTCAGAGCTAGACCAGGATCAGAAATCGGTATCGACCCTGAAAACATAAATCAGTCAAAGTCAGTATTTATCAACATGAGAATATCTTAATGTGAAATTCTGACTTGAAATGCCAGGAAGATCTGATGAGTCGCAACAAAACATGAACAATGACAACCATATCAAATACAGACCTTAATGGTGGCAGGATACCACAGAAAGCGCTACGCCCTCTGTTGTCCTGCAAGGGAATTGTTTTGAAGTTGGCATTTTCAACATGGAAGTCAATGAAGGACTCTGTTTTCGACCCTAGTGGATGAGGGTGGAACTGCATATTTTGTCACATCCTGGTTGTCTTTACGTCTAGGAGCCTCGAATGTCTACTTGGGTCACACACAACTTAAATGTGTGTGTCGTGTGTTGTTGTGGCTCAAAGGAATTTCAGTTCTTCAGATCTCTGAGAGTCCTTGAATGCACCACCAGGGAGTCTGGTCCAAAGAGTGCCAGTGTGGGTGCATTCAAGGACGTCCCGGTTTTTAGAGTTGGTTGAACAGCTGTTTTCTTTTAATTAAAAAAATGTTTGATTCTAAAAACCCAAAAATCTGAGAATCGGACCAAAGCGAGCCAAAATAATCAGCTTTTCTGAGCAGAGTCAGATTTCCCTCTTGTCTTTATTTAGTTACATTTTCTGTCCTCTCGTCAGACGGCTCGAAACCTGAGGCATGATGGGAAAGCGGGCGTGGCCGTGCCAACTGAACCAGCAGCACATCAGTTTCTATGTAATTTATTTATATTTTCTCCTCCATCTGTGTCCTCGTCTCCTCTCCTCACGGAGCTAAATGAAGAACGAACGAAGGCTTGTTAAAAAATAAAAGCCTCCATTAAAAATGTACGCCGGCCTGTCTGCCGCGTCCTGCTGCCGCTTTACGTTTGGGAATCCAGGCGGCGATGAAAGGAGGCAGAACGGAAAGAGAGATGAAAATAATAAATAAAGGAGGAAACAGAGGGCTGGACGATAAGTGTGTGTGTGTGTGTGTGTGTGTGTGTGTGTGTGTGTGTGTGTGTGTGTGTGTGTGTGTGTGTGTGTGTGTGTGTGTGTGTGTGTGTGTGTGTGTGTGTGTGTGTGTGTGTGTGTGTGTGCGTGCGCGCGCGCGTGTGCACATGCCAACAAGCCCAGCGACATTTTGTGATATTTGCATGAAGTGAGAGGGTTTCTGGCATGAGGAGGGCGAGAGCTGGCTGGATTAACGGACAGACAGAAGGATCGGGATTTTAAACAACTTCATTCACACTAAAGCACATTTAAGGTGGACTAGACTCAGAAAACGCCACCTTAAATAACTGTAAATCAACACCACGTTCTTATTTTGGAGCCGTTTCACAGAACATCATTATAATCTGATTTAAATAATTGCATTCACCTGGAATATTTCATTTTCCTAAAGACATCGGTTTACTTTTATCCGGATCGAGTCCGTTCAGATTTATTTTGATATAGTCTCCTCTAATCCAGCTAGATCCAGGTTTAAACCCGGTCAGTGAACATCTCCCAAGTAGAAACGTAGTTTTCTGCTCAGAATTACACAAAAATACAAAATAACGCAAATTTTACAGAAACAAGTCCAGATAGATCGGATACGAGAGAACCCAGTCAGCTAATCACAGTCCAGCTAAAGCGAGAGTGAGTCAGTGTCATCTCCGTGTCCTGGACTTGGTTCTGATTGGAGATCAGAGTCTTCAGTCCCTAAAAGGACCTCCAGATCCACCATGGATCGGATCTCCGGATGGTTCTGCTGCTGAAAAGCTCAGGAAAGAGAGAGAGGCCATTTTGAACTGCAGGATGCCTGGAGAGGCTGGCATCACTCACTCTCTCTCTCTCACACACACACACACACACACACACACACACTCACACAGAGCCCATCTCGTGCCAAAACAGTGAGTCCCTGCTGGAAGCTGCTCGGAGCTTTGGGAATTAGAAATCCCACAATTAAACATATGGGCATTAAGATAATTGTCAGTTGTGTGTGTGTGTGTGTGTGTGTGTGTGTGTGTGTGTGTGTGTGTGTGTGTGTGTGTGTGTGTGTGTGTGTGTGTGTGTGTGTGTGTGTGTGTGTGTGTGTGTGTGTGTGTGTGTGTGAGACAGATGGACATGATTCAACAGACACAAATGAACAGCAGAAAATGCAGAAAGCAGGAAACTAAATTTGTTTAAGAACCGAACCAGAACTCAGAAAGTTTCTCAGAACCAGCGGAAAGAATGAAATCAGAAGAGCTGAATGAAGCGAGGAGGAGGAGTTCCGGTCAGAACCTGAAGGAGAGCCTGGGTTTGTTAGGAGTGACGACGCTGCCCTCTACTGCTCAGAGGCACAACTGCAACACCTGCATTGATAGGAAGTGTTTTTAATAATAAATATTGGAAAAAAATGTCAAGTTTGACAGAAAATTATCAAAAAACTACAAACAGAATTTCATTATAAAAGTATAATTTATTTAAGCGTCTCCACTGAATCTTTTATTAGTTGGATGCATAGTGAGGTTCATTCATTTTATTTTCATTGTTTTCCTTTTAAAATATATATATATATATATATATATATATATATATATATATATATATATATATATATATATATATATATATAATTTTTTTTATTTATTCTGTTTTTTATTTTTTGGTCATAATTTATCCAAAAGCATGAATATGTGATAGGGGTTTTGTATGGGTGAAATTATGGCGATACGATACGTATCACGATACGATACATCTCCATTTATTGTATTTGCGATGCATTCAGCCAGACCATATTAGCGATTTTTTATTTTTATGTTTTTGACTGAATTCATTGTAGGAAAATTCAGTAAACAGTCCAGACTCATAGATAACATGATTAACATGAGGTATCTGAACCATAACAGAGGGATTTACATTTCAATGGTGGAAACAAAACCCATGGCACACTGCTGCCCACTAGGGGTCGGCGTTAGAATTGCAACAAAAGAAAAGAAAATGTTTGCATGTAAATTCTTCCAAATACTTTATACACGGCTTTTGAATATCGATATAATATTACAGGAAAAAATATCACGTTATATTGCCTTATCGGTATTTTCCTACATCCCTTTTTTTTTTCTTTTTTTTTTTTCTACCGTGTCCTGTCTGGCTGTGAAGCAAGCAGAATTGATGTCTGAATGCTGGTGACAAGCCTTACAGATTTATTCTCAGGTGGAGCATCAAAGCGTCTGCTTTTAATGTCACGCCTGATACTTAAAATTTTATTGTTATTGTTGTTGAATGCTTTGTAATTCCAACCAGACACGGAATCCCTAATATGTGAAATATGTTTGGCTCTTTAAAAGTTTTTAGTCTGAGATTTGGACAAAATTTGGTGAAAAATCTGAATTAACCAAAAATATTTCAAACAAAACTTGTTCAACTGAAGCCGAGTTTTGGGTTCTCGTGGGTCTGATTTTATTACTTCAGAGTTTTTTATCTGTTTTTTAAGAATCAGCAGATTTTCCCTCCAATCCTTCAGTTTTTTTCTAATCTAACACTTGAAATAGAAATTCTTCTCAGCAGATTATTTTGAGCGCCTGTATCGTTTATGTCAGGTTCTGACCCATTCCTTTCCAGGTCGGCGCTCACAGAGAAGATGGCGGCAGCAGTTTACGTGGAGGTCACTCCATGGCGGGTCAGGTGTCAGTTCCTCAGCTACCTGTCCAGTCGGCCACCTCGCCGGACCTCAGCCAGGCCGACCCGTACCGCGGTGAGACCCTCGGCTCTGATCGTCGTGTTACAGACACAAATGGTTTAATATCGATACTAAAGGAGGAAAATCTCACGTTAACCTGAGCCGTTTAGTAGACACACACACACACACACACACACACACACACACACACACACACACACACACACACACACACACACACACACACACACACACACACACACACACACACACACACACAGAGCCCACCTCTGTATCTGTGGACTCCAGATAAACAGGAAGCAACCGGCTAAAGCTGAATAAATAAAACATGAATCTAGAAAACAGAAGAAAATCACAGAAAGCTCCGACTCGGAAAGTTTCGCTTGGGGAGAATTTGAAGGAACTTGTGAACTGCTGGAGCCTTAAAGCAGCTAATTAGCAGCAAAACAAACTCAAATTTGCATTTGGAGCAAATTATCCCTCAGTTCGTTCTTACAGGCTGAAAATGAGTCCGCTGGCAGCAAAGTTCATCCAGCGGTGTCCGCAGCCAAGAGGGGAGGAAGCACACACAAATCCGCAAAGGTCAAAGTTCAAGATCATTCATCAACATGTTTTAATCATCTTTAAGCTCATCCTTCAGCAGGTCCCATTAGAACCCTTAAAGCTGTGGGACACTTGTTTAATCGGTACATTAGCAGTGGTCTCTAGTAGGAATGAATGCCTTGTGAGTCGCACTCTGGAGAAACAAAGCTCTGGTGCACCAGTTTGAGGAGCTAGAAGTCAGCCGCATCAGAGCTGAGCTGAACACGGCAGGATTTGGAGTCTTGTTTCCGGATGTTGGGACATCTCTCCTCTGATTGTCTCACAACAACGCGACTCTACCACTGTAGATGTTCAGCGGCTGTGTTTTGACAGATGGTATCCGACTAACTTTTGTCTCAAGTCTTCGGCGCCCTGGCTTTCCAGTGGTTCAGGTGTGGTGTGTGACCATACCATAGCTCCATGAGACAAATGGGGAAAGATCTTAGAGTTTAAAAATGTCTGTACATTCAAACTTCAGGCTATTTCTTATGATCTTAAAACCGTTTGTGTTTGATCTGACAACTTTACTGGTTTCTTTTATACGACTTAAAATTTAACCGAGAGACTAAAATCATTCCTATTTTACGCGCTCAGCTGATTCCCCATTTACAGAAATGTTTCCGACGCTTGGGGGGGTTCTTTATGGAGACGCAGATACATTTGGGTTTTTCTGTGTTGAAGCACGAATCCTGTAGCCAAGTGGAGATCTTTATTAAACCGTTTAATAATCCCTGACTGTAGCACAGTCTTTGTCAGAAACGTGGACGACATCAGCACACGTCTGCAAATGGGCATGCCTCTGGAAGGCTACTGATAGATAAACTAAATGGAATGGGACCTAGAATAGTTCCTTGTGGGATTCCAGTTTCATATTTAGGAAAACTGGATTTACAGTTATGGATGATGACGCGTGGTTCTGTAAATAAGACACAGAGCACTTAGTGAACTGAGAGAAGGGTTTTGATATTGGTGCCGTTTACAGTGTCAGACGCCGTTTTTACACCTAAGAACACAGCACCAACAACTGTTCCTGTAATGGACATGTGGCTGTTCACGGTGAGGGGGAGCTACATTTGTGAGATGTAGGATCGGGTCAGAAACAACTTCGGTGAAGGCTAATGCGGCTTTTGTGTTCCTGTTCTTCGCCGTTCCGTCGTGGAACCTCCTCTTGGTTCTTAACTCCTCCTCTTGTCCTCCTGCAGCTCTGTCTGGAGGCCTTCAGGGCCAGAGCACCTCCTCCGTCAGCTCTGAGATCAAGTCTGAAGACGAAGGAGACGAGAACCTCCTGCAGGACACGAAGCCTCTGGACACCAAGAAGGAGGACCTGGACAGCAAGGAGCTGAAAGCTATAGAGAGGTCAGGATCTAGGTAACCCCGCCCACCAAGACGTTCGCTTCCATCAAACCCCTCAGCTGGACTGGGACACATGTCTTTCCAACGCACCACCGACCCCTGGGCTGAAGTTCTGATGAGTTCGGACCTGGGGTGGTGATGTTTTAGGAACCAGCCTCTGAACTTTGATGAAGTGATCAGGTGTGATGAGAAGCAGTTAAATACATCAGAACTTCTGTCCACCAGGTGTCTCCATCCCCCCACTGCTGCTGCTGGTCCATTTGGACCTCAGCCAGGCAGAGGGGGACACGGGAGTTCTGCTGGACCCACCGGGCCCTGTTGGTCCCGTTAGTCTCTCCACGGCCTTGAGCCTGGATTTAACTGTTTCTCACACATCAGAGTAGAACCCCACCCCCACCCAAGATCCCTCAATCAGCCTCACTGCTGCAGAGCAGGAACCCAACAGAACCAGCAGGAACCGGGTCAAACCCAACAAATCTAGCAGTAGTAATATTATTACTGTTATTATTAGTAGTGGTAGTCTGGGGCGTAGCACCGAATTCTGGGCCCTAGGTACAAGTCTTCTAGGTGGGCCCCCATGCTCAATTACTTAATATCTTACACATTTTTTGTCATGCTATAAGACAAGACAATAAATATGATCTTAGTTTAACCTCTATATTGAGCAAATACAAATGCCAGCATAATAAAAGTGAAAAGCCCAGACTTCACATATAATTATTTTTATTTGCCAACAATGTGTTCAAACAAAAATCCTGGAATTTATTTTCCAGTAAATGCCCACTGACGGGTCTTCATGTTAGCAAAATCACTTATGAGATCTTTAAAGTCCAATCCTTTGGCTAATGGGCTTTCAATAGAAAGAAGAGCTAGGCTGTTCAGTCTATCCTGGGACATTGTTGATCTCAAATAATTTTTCACCAGTTTCAGTTTGCTAAAAGCCCGTTCACCCCCAGCAACAGTCACAGGTAGTGTGCAAAATATTCTCAGTCCAATACAAACTTCTCCAAAAATGCTCTGTAATTGCATCCTGTATGGCACTAAGCAGCTCAAGAGGAGACTGAATGTGTGGAAATGTGGCACCATATATTGTTCTCAGGTGTAGCATCTCATTCTCTAATTCAGCTGTGAGATCCTTGTAATATTTTCTCATCAGTGCCTGGCATGATATCTTCATCTGCTCTTCAGTCATGTCTGTCATGGTTCATGATGTTAAGCTTTGCTGATATATATTGATATATTAAATACATATGACATGAAATAAACCAGGTTCTCTCTGTGAATGTAATGTACTCTAAATTTTATAATCCCTGCATTATCAGCCAAATTATAAGATTGTCCGTTTTCAAGATCAAATATAAAGAAATTTAAAATAGGCTTAAAATATCTAACCAAGTCAATAACAATCCTCTAACACCAGTGTCATCATGCTATACGAAAAACAGTGGCAGCTTCTCATTCCTGAGATTACCACGAATCCATCGATACCAAGTTTGTCCTGGTCCATGACTGGGAAGGAGCTGAAATATCCACACAGAGTGAACCTGTTTTTACTGCGAGGTCCGCGAATTAATTGGCGGCGGCCGCCCGCGATAATAATTCTGATTAATATATATATATATAAATTTATTAGTGTTATCACTGATAACAGTAATTAATTTATATTTGATCTTGATGGTGAAACTAAAGGCGTTTAACACTTTCTTTCTTCTTTCTTTCGGTCTTTATTTTGGTTTATAGCATTAACATAAAATTTTTTTTTTCAAACAAAACAATATTAACAATTTGAATTTAAACCAAAAAAGGAATAGGCAGAAGCAAAGCTTATTTTAGCCTACCCTATTTTCCACCTAAGATACATAACCAATATACATTTCTTTTATTTTCCCCAATATAAATAACCACAATGAAAATTCATTAATGTCTATACATACTTTTCGTACCCTGTAAATATGTGACACTTTACACCTGCTTTAAACTTTAGTAAAGAAGTACATTTCTTCAAATCATCATCTAACTCATTCCACAATTTCACACCAAGAACGGAAACACATCTTGATTTCACATTAGTTCTGGCTTTTACACATTCAAACATAAATACACCTCTGAGATTATAATGATCATCTCTTGGTTTGAAATAAACTTTTATGCAATTTGGGATATTATCATTAACTACTTTATGAAGAATCTCTAAGATTTTTACTTTAATAATATCTCCTAATTTTAGCGTTTTAGTTTGAATAAATAGATAATGGTTTGGTTCGAGGTATCCCAATTTATTAACTATTTTAATCGCCTTTTTTTGTAATTTAAATACCGTCTCAACACATGTTTTACTGCATTTCCCCAAGCCTCTGCACAATAAGACAAATAATGCATAACTAAAGAGCTATAAATTAAAAACAAGGCTTTTTTATTTAGTACATCACTAGTTTTATAAAGTATAGCAATAGATTTAGACACTTGCCGTTTGATATATTCAATGTGTGGTTTCCAACTGAGTTTACTATCAATAATCACACCTAGGAATTTAGTTTCATGTACTTGTTCAATTGGGACTCCATTTAAATACAGCTTAGCACCGTCATTGTCCCTTTTCCCTGAAAATATCATAAATTTGGTTTTATTTTCATTTAGTGATAGCTTGTTGTAATCAAACCATTTTTTAATTGAATCCAATTCGTTTTCAACCTCTTGTAATAATTTACTCATATCTTTTCCCATACAAATGAAATTTGTATCATCTGCAAACATAATAAATTTTAACCGAGACGATACAGAAAAGATGTCGTTCAGGTATAGGTTGAATAATTTCGGTCCGAGCACCGAGCCTTGCGGTACACCACATATTACTCTTTCAAGCTGTGAATCTATATCATTAACATTAACATATTGAAATCTACTGCTTAAATAACTTTCAAGCCATTGATTGGTTTTACCACGAAGACCATAGTATTCACATTTCTTGAGCAGGTATGTGTGATCAATTGTATCAAATGCCTTACTCAAGTCAATCAAGACAGCCACTACATTAAGTTTTTGATCCACTGCTGTTGCAATCTGCTCTACCAAATCCATAACTGCTAATGAGGTTGAACGATTCTTCCTAAACCCATACTGATGGTCATTTAAAAGATCAAACTTGTTGGTAAATGCTTCAAATCTAATTACAAAAAGTTTCTCAAGTATCTTTGAAAACTGTGGCAGTAAAGAGATAGGTCTATAGTTACAAGCTAATCATTTGTCACCACTTTTATAAATAGGAATAACTCTGGCTATTTTCATTTGTTCAGGGACTGTGCCACTTGAAAATGATTTATTACAAATATAAGTAAAAGGTTCAATAATGCAATGGATAACCTCCTTGATGAGAGACATATCCATCCCATGAAAATCTAAGGACTTTTAACTTTTGAAACTATGTACCGCTTGGATCACATCACTTTGGCTTACACTGCTCAAAAACATTGTATTATTATTTTTATTTATTTCATGGTTAATGTCAACTTCTGGCAGCTTTTTAGCTAGATTAGGGCCAACATTCACAAAATATTTATTAAACTCATTTGCAATGTTCTTTCCATTTTTATTGTGAATATCTATACCTGCTTCTTTTGTATTTCTTATTAATTTATTTAACACATTCCATGTACCTTTAATATTATTTTTGTGTTTTAGGAAAAGCTGATCATAATATTCCTTTTTTTGCTTCCTTATTATTGTAGTTAATTTGTTTTTATATTCCTTATACCTTTTTTCTTTTTCCTTTGTTGGATTTTTTAGAAAATCCAGATACAGTGATTTCTTTTTCTGGCAAGCCCTTTCCAATCCCCTAACAATCCAGGGTGGGGACCTTTTTTTTAAGTTTTGCTTATGATATTTTAGAGGACAATGTCTATCATAAGCTCCCAAAAATGAACACTGAACACCTAACATGAATGCAGCTTCTGAGAGCTAGCTAATATCAGCTAAAACTGTGTTCTGCTGCTCACCTTCCTTCTTGAAGAACCTAGTCAATACTTGCTTCTGTTCAATTAACTTTTTCTCCTTCTCCTTCTTTTCTTTTCTTTTCTGGAAGCCAGATTTCCCTTTCTTGGGAAAAGACATGACTGACTCTCCTGCCTCCAGCTCTGGCTGTCGGCATCTGCGATGTCTCATAGCTGTACATGCGGCCGTGCAGCCCCTGGCCGCTGGTGTGGACTAAACCACTTTGCACATTTTTAAGGGGTGATAGATGCCTCAGAGATTATTCAATTATTATTTTTAAGGCGAAATTCTGTTTCTTAACCTCTTTATCCAGGTAAAGAGACGTTTATTAAGACATTAAGTAAGTTGGGGGGAAAAAACAACAACAATAAAACATTTTTATTCAAAGCTGTCTCAGGGCCCCTCCCTGCAGTGGGCCCTGGGTAAACGGTACCCTTCCCCCCCCCAGTCCGACGCCCCTGGTGGTAGTAGTATTAGTATTATCATCATTATTATTATTAGCAGTACTAATATTTTCATTATTAGTAGAATTAGTAGTATCATTATTAGTATTATTATTATCATTATTATTATTATTAGCAGTAATAATATTATCATTATTAGTAGTAGAATTAGTATTATCATTAGTAGTAGTAGTAGTAGTATCATTATTAGTAGTAGTATTACTATCATTATTATTATTATTGGCAATAGTAATATTATCATTATTAGCAGTAGTAATATTATCATTTTTAGTATTAGTATTAGTAGTAGTATCATTATTATTATTAGTAGTAGAAGTGGTTATAGTAGTAGTATCATTATTAATATTAGTAGTACTATCATTATGATTAGTAGTAGTGGTAGTAGTATCGTTAGTAGTAGTAGTAATAGTAGTATTAATATTATCATCATTATCATTATTATTAGCAGTAGTAATATCATCATTAGTAGTATTAGTATTATCATCATTATTATTACTATTAGCTGTAGTAATATTATCATTACTTGTAGTAGTAATAGTATGATTATTAGTATTATCATCATTATTATTACTATTAGCTGTAGTAATATTATCATTACTAGCAGTAGTAATAGTATCATTATTAGTATTATCATCATTATTATTACTATTAGTAGTATTATTATCATTATTATTAGTTGTAGTAGCAGTATTATTATTAGTATAATCATCATTATTATTACTATTAGCAGTAGTATTATCACTATTATTATTAGTAGTAGTATCATTATTATTATTAGAAGTAGTAGTAGTAAGGGTTGTAGTAGTAGTATCATCATTATTATTACTTTTAGTAGTATTATCATTGTTATTATTATTAGTAGTAGTATTATCATTATTATTAGTAGTTAGTAGCAGTAGCATTATCATTATTATAATTAATCAATAGTAGCATTATCATTATTATAATTATTATTAGTAGTATTATCATTATTATAATTATTAGTAGCAGTAGCATTATAATTATTATAATTATTCTATAGTAGCATTATCATTATTATAATTAATCAATAGTAGCATTATCATTATTATAATTATTAGTAGTAGTATTATCATTATTATAATTATTAGTAGCAGTAGCATTATAATTATTATAATTATTAGTAGTAGTATTATCATTATTATAATTATTAGTAGCAGTAGCATTGTAATTATTATAATTATTCTATGGTACCATTATCGTTATTATAATTAATCTATAGTAGCATTATCATTATTATAATTATTATTAGTAGCATTATCATTATTATAATTATTATTAGTAGCATTATCATTATTATCATTATTATTTGCAGTAGTAATATCATCATTAGTAGTATTAGTATTATCATCATTATTATTACTATTAGCTGTAGTATAGAAGCATTATCATTATTATAATTATTATTAGTAGTATTATCATTATTATAATTATTAGTAGCAGTAGCATTATAATTATTAGTAGCAGTAGTATTATCATTATAATTATTATTAGTAGCAGCAGTATTATCATTATTATAATTATTAGTAGCAGTAGTATTATAATTATTAGTAGCAGTAGTATTATCATTGTAATTATTATTAGTAGCAGCAGTATTATCATTATTATAGTTATTAGTAGCAGTAGTAGTATCATTATTATAATTATTATTAGTAGCAGTAGTATTATCATTATTATGATATTATTAGTAGCAGTAGTATTATCATTATTATAATTATTAGTAGCAGTAGTAGTATCATTATTATAATTATTATTAGTAGCAGTAGTATTATCATTATTATGATATTATTAGTAGCAGTAGTATTATCATTATTATAATTTTTAGTAGCAGTAGTAGTATCATTATTGTAATTATTATGAGTAGCAGTAGTATTATCATTATTATAATTATTATTAGTAGCAGTGGTATTATCATTATTATAATTATTAGTAGCAGTATTATTATTATTATTATTATTATTATTAGTAGTAGCAGTAGTATTATTATTAGTAGCAGTAGTAGTATCATTATTATAAAACTTTTACCTGCTTATTTATTTTCTGAGTAAACGTCCAATCAGACGTTCCCTGGGTCGAGCTTTGCTTCCAAAAGGCTTTTAAGTCGTTTTGAAGGACCTGAAACGTATTTATTCAGATTAAAACGATTCAATCTGAGCGAAGCTCTGTTGGTTTTCCTGCCTGAAGCAGCTTCGTTTCTCCTCCCATGAAAAACAAAATGTTTATCTTTGTCGGTCGGAGGAAATCTGTAACATCTGGATCCCATACCAAGAATCTAACCATAATGGTGGCGGCCATGTTGTTAATGATGATGTGAACATGCTTCTTATTATTGTGTGTGTGTGTGTGGGGGGGGGGGGGGGGGGGCATGTTGGTCTGAAGTGTTCATTATTTCAGGTTTGAACACTTAATGAAGTTTAGTGGAAATGTTGCTGATTCAATTTTGATGTTTAAAAGTCCAACGTAGAGGTTCTTCTGTAAAACCATTGGGTTCATTTGGGTTTTAGATCTAGCAATGAAAGAAATGTGAAAGCTGCTGCCAGTGGCTCATTAGGGTCACCGTGGTAACCAGCAGTGGCTCGTTAGGGTCACCTTGGTAACCAGCAGTGGCCTCTTAGGGAAAGCTCCTTAGAGGACCAAATGGACACAAACCTGCTCAAAAAGATGATCTCAGCAGAGACATCTGTCCTCAAACCCTGCTGGTAAACATCTGTGTTCTCAGAGCCCGTCTTCATCCTTACCAGTTTGCTCCTCACCTTTGTCCCTTCAGTAACAACGACGATGAAGACCTGAGTCCAGAGCAGAAGATGGAGCGGGAACGGGAGCGAAGGATGGCCAACAATGCACGGGAACGCCTGCGCGTTCGCGACATCAACGAGGCGTTCAAAGAACTGGGCAGGATGGTCCAGCTGCACCTAAAGAGCGACAAACCTCAGACCAAGTTACTGATCCTGCACCAGGCCGTCGCCGTCATCCTCAGCCTGGAGCAGCAAGTCAGAGGTTCGTTCCTTACATTTAATAATACAGTAATAAATCAGTTTTAACCTTCATTCTTGTTGTGAAATAAAAACTAGAGAAAAGTCTCCTTAGATGTTTTATTTAACTGATCTTCATCATTGGTCTGCTGCTCCGGAGCATTAAAAGATTATTAACATGGAAAACGTTTAAAACCAGACTAGCTGTGGTGGCCCGGCAGCCCTCTCGCCACTGCCACGGGGGTCAAAGGTCAGCTGGTTGGTTATGGTTTACAGGTCAGGAGAAGAACCACCCTGGCAGCTCAGCTGAGGGTTGTGGAAGGAACCACAAGACTTCAGGAGCATGGTGGAGCAGTTAACCCAGAAGGCACGAACCGCAGATCCCCACTGTCCACCAGGAACTCCTCTGGAGACCAAAGTCTTCTAGAGCCTGTGAGACAACTGGAGCTTGGACCAGAACCGGGTCATGACTCGGAGCCGTGGTCCAATTGATTATATTTCATTACTTTGAGGATCCGCTGATGGTTCTGGTTTTTAGCTTTCAGCTCCAGAGTCTGACCCGTTTATTGATCCAGCAGAACTAAAGAGGAAGTCCATCAGAACCCTGACCCGTCTCTGTCCTCTCTGTCTCCAGAGCGAAACCTGAACCCCAAGGCGGCCTGCCTGAAGCGCCGTGAGGAGGAGAAGGTCACCGTGACGTCGGACGGGACCCCGCTGTCGCTGGCTGCCGCCCACCACGCTGCTGCTGCCGCCATGGGTGACGGACCCAACCCAATGGGACAAATGTAAAACGCAGCACCATCTCCTCCCCCCTGAATGGTCAGAAGATTTCACTTTTACACTAATCTGCTGTTGTACCTCTAACTCCACCAACCATGGGTTCCTGTAAGAACATGACAGAAACATCTGAATTATTACAGATGGTTATAAGCACGCCATCAGATTAAGAACCAGATCCAGGTTCTGTTTCATCTTCTGACTAAATTTAGACCAGCTGGTTTCTGTCTGTTCGGGGTACATTCTAACAACAGATTGGCCGTAAGTGTGATTTTATGTTTGCGTTGGTCCAGATCTTCTCTGGTGGCGTCTCCTTTTGTCTGGTTAAGAGGAACGTTCCAGATGCTTGCATCTGTTTAACAGCTGTAACGGAATTCCTGCTTTAGCTGTTAGCTTCCGGAACAGCCTCTGTTCAGAGAAATGGCTCACAGACCTCACAAGCTAGCTGCTAGTCCCAGCTAACAGAAGCAACGGGTAAAACGGGGATTATTTAGAACTTTTACACAGATGCAGGCTTCAGAACGTTCCTGTATTGCCAAAACTAAACTGCTGAGTTAGAAATGTGATGTTTACGTTATCTTTCCTTCTGTTTCTGGTGTGACCTCTGACCCCCATTGCAACCAACCATCAGGTTGTTCTCGGTGTTTCTAGCGTTCTGTCCCGATTTCTGTCTCCCATCATTACCGTTTCCTCTGCAGGTCCAAGGTGCCGGAGTTCATCAAGATGATGAGCGACCACTTCCTCTGATGGCGTTTCCATGACAACCTGGCAATCAATCAACCCCGCGACGCTTCAATCCAAGCACGTAGTTCCCCTGGAGTATCAGCCCGACCGGTCAGAACCATTTATCGTCTCCTCCTCTTCGCCATCGCCGCCGCCTCCTCTTCCTCCTGTGGGGAAAACAAACTGCTGAGTCGCTTTGGGCCCGCCTCCAGCCGAAGCGAGCGGGATGCGTCTACGTAGACGCAGTCGAGCAGCACCGATCTTCACTCACAACGGACAGAACTTCTCCCCCTCCGTGTTTTATCTGCAACATTCCCAGTTTTAAAGAACTGTTCTATACAAATATATATATGGTGAATATATATATATATGGACAAGGACGAGACTCGTGTTTACGGAGCTGAACTTGACGCGGGCAGCGAGGAAGGTTGGGGTTGGGGAGGGATGTTCAGAACAAAACATATCAAAGGGATTCCTTTTGCTTGGCGCGTCTCTAACGCCACACTGTGGATGAAGCGGTGCCTGATCCCATCTAGGACGCACGGTCAGGTCCAAGCACGCACAGCAACCGAGCCAATGGAACTCGGTCGCACACTCGGACCCACAAACCACCACCAAGTCCAACACGAACCCAGCAGCAGAGCGTTCTGTTAGCTAGTAGAGCCTCTTTAGATGTGAAACCACCGGGAGGATCAGCAGGCAGGTTCTCCAGAGGTGGTGACTAACCAGACACGAGATGAAAATACAGAAAATTTAACACTTTCCTTCAGTTTTGTTTGAACCTGTTGAGAATTTTTTCACCACAGGAAGAGATTCGAGTCCCGTTTTGGTCCAATAAAGTAAACTAAACTGATCCGCGTGTAGCTTACAGCTGGCCTGATCCCAACAGAACCCAGGTTTAGCACATTTCTTCAGTCATGCTACTTGATTCAAGTTCTCCTGAAGCCCAGAAGGTTCTAAACAACTCGAGACCTGGAGGAAGAAGGGATTGAAAAGGGAAAACTAAGGGGTGAAGAAGGCACTGGAGAGGAAGCAAGGGAACAATCATCTAGGTGAGGGCTGTAGGTTATCCTAGCATTCCAGAGTCTGACTTTAGTGACCCCTCATGTCCCGGTCTGATATCCGTCTGATCCTGACCTGAAACTCCTGGTGGAGGGGAGCTTTGGATTGACGCCAAAGGCTTGAACTTTGCTGTCTGGTCTAGAATTAGAGTCAGGAATAGTTTTAGCGTTGCTCTGAGGAGGTTCCTGTAGAGAAATCGGTCTTTTTGTTTAATTGGACCAAAGAAAACAAAGCACCTGGTCAGTTTCCTGGTGTTACTCCTGCCCCTGGTGTCCCAATGGCTCTTAATGCTAGGGATCGGGTAGCATAACCCCCAGCTAAACGGTACACTAAAGGATTTGAATTTCCCTCTGGGATTAATGAAGTATTTTTGAATTTGAATTGATTTGATTCTGTTTCTGTGAGAAGAAATTTGGGGTGAAGATGACTGGATGTTCATAAGTAATGAACCAAATGGGATGTTTGGTTTCTGAATGTTCTCGGTCATCCAGGATGATGAATGATCCTGTTAATGTTTGGAAAACAACAACTTTTTAACTATTTTAAAAGGTTTTACGTCTGAACTGAAAAAAGCTAAGTACCGAGCTGTAAGCTCTACTAGGATATTCACCAACGTAAAGCTTGGTTTATGCTTGACGCATTTACTTTCCGCTTGGTGATGCGGCTCGTGGATGGAACGCGCTTCACAACTTGCAGCGTTTATGGTTCATGCGGCTCGTCTCTGCGGTGAGCCAATATTCTCCCAAACTGTAGGGGGCAGCATGGAGCTCTACGGCATGCATCCAACACTACACCATAGTAGAAGTAAAATTTACTGTTGTTTACAACATGGCATTCCAGCATTTTTAACAGCGTCCTCATCTTTTCCGACAGTGCGAGTTATTTCTCTCCAAGAATTATTAACAACATGTTGATCACGGTGATCTCTGAGAGCTGAATCATACAAATGTCTGTATTTACGAACCTCTGCCATACTAGATCTTGCCAGTCCGCCATGTTTTTCCACGTCCGACCGTCTGCGTGGTTAGAAAATTTCCTAGGTGCACGGTGCGGACATTTTGGGCTGTGCGGAGGCGCGGTGGAGGGGCGTGGTTGTTAAAATGACGCAGTTTCGCCGCTCGGACCTCGCGTCAAGCGTAAACCAAGCTTAAGCCAGTTTCCTGCTGCTGGGGGAGGGGCCATCTGAGGTTTGACCTGCTAATTAGCTGGTGGAGGTTCTCAGTCATCCAGGTCATGGTAATCCAAGAGTTCAAATGAAGGCAACGACTTCTTTGGTTTCTTGAAGCCTGGCAAACCATCCTATATTTGTGAATATAAAGTCTGGCCACAACCCAATGACAGCTCTCAGCCAAGCGGAGTCTTTCTAACTGTCTCTGCATGCTATTGGACGACAAACAAGGCGATGTACTCACCCCTACACATGTCAGTCAACAGGGCAGTCCACCATACACTGCTGAAGAAGACCAACATCCTTTTTAAGGATCTCTGTCTGCTCTTGACTCAAAGAAAAGCCCAAGTCTGAATGGCCCAAACTTGATGCCAAAGTTGTTTCAAATGAGCTCCTGCCATCTTTGTTTCACTCAGTCGCCGTAACATCCCGCCCACCAAACTGGTAGAGCACTGTGATTGGCCTGCCAAACACCAATCCGGAGCTGCAGAGTTCCCAATGGAGCGTGGCTAGACTGACATGCAGATTAATTTTGCTTCGGCACCCGATGGTCTAGATTTCTGGGCTAAAATCTTTAAGAGGGTAAAGAAGTTCAGTTCCCCTTTGTTATAATCTGACTGGAATTAAGGTTTTGGGTGGTTGGTCCCAGCTTCTCCAACGGTGCTCAATACCTGTGTCCCACTGATGGCTTTAGGTTCAACCTGTCATATCCAGCAGCAGGACGTCATTGACCTAAAACCTCTGGTGGTGGTCCTTGTTGTCGGTTCAGCACTAATAAAATCTAATCAACACGTCTCCAGGGTCTTTCATTAGGGTTCTGTCGACAGTTGGGTGACAAAAAAGATTAACCCAGGTTTAAAGTTGAGTAAGAATGAAAACGAGGAACAAATGGAGGAGATGGTCGGGACAGTCGAGATCATCCGATCGAACAGTTCCTGTTTCCTGGTGTCAGTCTGAAAGCCCCCTCTCACCTCCAAAACTGGATCCATGAAACTACGGATACTAGCCTTATGAGCCCCAAACCAGAGCCAGACCCCCTTGTCCAGCATCGTACCACCCCACCCCCACCCCGCCACTCCACCCACAGATGCAATTTGAATTCACTCTTCTACCAATGTGCCTTTTTAGAGTTCATATCATTCGAGTTGCCAGAGGAGGACTTTTACCTGGTCTTTTAATAGGATGCAAGCTTAGGGACACCAGTTCTTAGCGGTTAGGTTCTATGCAGTCAGGTTTTTTACCAGACCTCGGAATTTAAAAAAAGCTAAAATGGAAAAAAAAAAAGTATTTTTGGGATAACAAAAGTAAACTGTATTTAATGTACTGTACGCTTAAATGTAAGTAGACAGCGTGTTCTGGCTCCAAGCCAATGGGATAGACGCTTGACTTGGCAAGACTAGCCCCCATCCAGTCCGCCCCCCCATCCCAGTCCTCCAGAACCGGAATCCCACTTTCCTGTTCCAAGCCTCAACCTTGTTTCCGCTGGGTGGACAACGCGTCTCTTCTTGTATTATAGCTTATCAGCTTTTTATCAATATTTGATCGGCTTGTCCGTGAGCCAACGTAGTCTTCAGTACTAAGTGTGTGGTCGTTTGTTGTAAAACTGATTTCTTTTCCTCTTTCTGCTCCTTCTTTTTTTAAAGAACAATCTTTTCTCTTATTACTTTTTTGTCTGTTCTGGTTTACATGTCAGATACAGAAAATTATAAAAATAAAAAGAACAAAACAGAAAAACAAACAACAAAATTCACTCCAACAGCATTGTTCTCCGTCGGTTGATGTGGTTTCAATCCCAGCCATCCAGCAGGAAAGCAACGAAAACTGGAAAAGAGTCTATTTGAGCAAATCGATCTATATATAAATGTACAAAAATATATACAGTATATGACGAGGGTGCCGTTTCTGTTCTTTTTTATTGTTATTACCACAAAAGCATTTGCTCGGGAAGGAAGACCGAACTCGCAGAAATTGGCGAAGGCCCCTCAGTGTTAAAAATTTTCAACTGACTGCATTATATTCGCTGTTGTTGCCATGACGACCCCTCACGACCAGTATGGCACCCTGCACGGGACACACCGGGACAGGAGCGACCAGTCCACGGCAACAACACACAGACGTTTGTAAATTGTATGCAACAAAATGGCAAACTTTACCATTATTTTGAAATTGTGTATGTAAAAGTTATATTTTTACACGTAGACTGTTGTTATTTTGTGTTTTAGAAATCTGATGTATTTGTTTTTGCTTTTGTGTTTTTCTTTTGTTAAAAGATGAAAAAGAAAACTTCAGCGTGTTAAAAAAAATGTGTCGCATTGAAAACGTTGTGAAACCAGAAGTTCAAAAACCTTTTTTTCGGTTTGTTTTCTATGTTTCTATATGTGGGAGACATTTTGAGGGTTTGAGGGAGGAATCGGACATAAAAGTACATTCTTTAACTCTTCATGCCTCGTAACATTACCTTTTGTTGGGTTTTTGCAGAGATGTGTGTAAATAGCCATCAGCCATGTTGTGTGGTGTGAAGATTAGCCGGTGAGACTCGATGAAGAACACGTTTTGTTTTTTTAGTGAGGTCGTATTCGTCCGGCTTCGGTAGCCAGGTGCCAGCTTTTCGTATTGATGGGTGGTGCTCAGTGGTGTCTGTTGTTTTAGTTGCTGATCATCTGAAGTGGGACTCAGACCGTTGTCTTGGCGCGTGCTAAGTTACTATCGGCACCGACGTGAGCTAATTTTTGCGCCGATTTTTGCCAAAAAAGAAACCTTTTTAGATCATTAGAAAACTTTGCTGTGTAAAAGTTTGTGGTATCAACTTGTTTTCAAACAAAATTTTAGGTAAATTGTGATGAATTTTTAAGCGCAGAATCCAAAGAGCGTAATTGAGTCTGGTGCCCCCTGGTGGCCGTGGGTCGGCACTGACTCCTAGGATTTGTCTTTTTTTAACGGGGTTTAAATGTTGAATGAGTGAAAACCCGCAGCACCTGATTGGAGGTTATTCTATGAGAACAGATTGGAGCTTTGCTAATTTAAAGGAACAAGAACAATCTTCAGCTATTTCCCCAAAAATCAATCGGACGGCGTGCGCGGACGTTTCAGTCAGGTTTGGGTTTTTGGGTGTTTTAAGTGTTTGGCGTTACAACGAGCTTTTCATACAGAGCTGCTCTGACTTGGACCTAGGTCAAACACTACCACTGAATCTGTCCCAGTAAGTGCTAAAAAGATTTTTATTTTTAACGTTTCATTCCATATTTTTGTTGCGTAATCAAAGTTGTCTCCCAGACGACAGGATCCCCATCTTTCTGTTTCCCCGGTGTTTTTTAACTAAAATGTTAACTGCTTTCCTTTCTCCTCCTTGTTGTACATAAACACCTCATTTATTTCTCAGTGACTGTGCCATGAGCTTTGTAATCTGTTAATCTGTACCAGTTTAACTGCAATAATGAGTTGAATTCAAAATGGCCGCTCCTGTTTTGTTTTGTTTTGGTGTTTTTTCTTTGCGTTAGTTTTCTTCTTACTTAAAAGAGAATTCAGGTGCACCGACCGACACGAGCAGCACAACAAATCAGAAATTCTACGTGTTTTTTTTTCTCTCTCAAAAACAATAAAGAAAATGTTCGGATAGCGACTTTATTTCATTCACTGCCTGACTTGTTTTTTATGTCATCTGTTTTTATAACTTCCTGTTGATGATTATTATTATTCAGAAGGCAGTGACAAATCAGTCCAACTAGCTTATCCTCAAGTTCTGTTGTTCAGGTTACGCTAATATTTGAACAAAATGTCCCTGTAATAAAATAAAATGTAACTTTGAGCTAAGAGATTTGATTATTTATGAGATAGGGTGTTCCATTAAGTTTTTTTTATTTATAGTTTTCAGTATTTAGACTATTTACTTCAAAACTTTGACCAAACCTCCAAGAAACAGACTAATTAATTCAATAAGGGTTATGAAGTAAGCTGTTCATAATGTAAAGAAAAGTTAATGGTAATAATGTACGATCACGTTAAACATCCTCCTATGTAAAACTAGCTTGGGACTTTTTTCCTTTATTTGATTCTGTGATTCAGGGAGTTTTATGGACCTGATTTACCGGTCAGGTAACGAGTCAGCTGATTGTTGACAGTTTGAGTCGGATCGACTTTTAGAAAGTTAAAGCTAAAAACAACTTTATGGCAAGTGTGCGTCTTTCAGTGGTCTGGTGAAGGTTTTACACTAACACTTGTATTATATGGTGTTACGGAGTTTCAAAAATCTATCGGATCATTCACGATTTTTCTCAATTCCCTCATTAATCACAGCTGTGCTCTCACGTGGCTGGAATCCTCAAGTAAAAACTTGTAAATAGTCTTGAATTTGTCTGGAGGTCATCTCGGATTTTTATAAGTGCAAAGAAAGCGAGACAATTTTGGGAGGAGATGGAAACCAAACTGAATGAGATGGAGTTGACCTCCAGTGTGGTCACAGTAAGGGGCAGCAGTGGCGTTGCCAGATCTTTTAAAATGGGGTGGCCTAGGTAGTGCACTTCTTTGTGCATGGGTGGCACCAATGATTATGCTTTTTCTTTTTTTACCCCAAGCTTTTTGTGGATAAGTCCATTTCAAGGAAATTCAGTGGGGTGGCCAATCAGATTCCAAGGGTGGCATGTGCTACCCCAGGCCACCCCCTGGACATGCCCCTGGCGGCAGCAGCTCAGGAGGTAGAGCGTGTTGTCCAGTAATCGGAAGGTTGCCGGTTCAATCTCGGCTCCGGTGCCATATGTGCTCGGCAGCCTCTCCTCCGACAGTGCGCCCCAGGGCAGCCGTGGCTACGATGTAGCGCATCCCCATCGGTGTGTGTGAATGGATGAATGATGCTCTGTAGTGTAAAGCACTTTGGAGTCCTCTGACTCTGAACGGTGCTACACAAGTGCGGGTCATTCATATCATAAGTATCTGTTAAAAAATTAAAGGTCTCAGGAAATGTGCAGAACATGTGTTTCACGTGTTAATTTCACGTGAAACGGTTTTATTTGTTCATGTGAAGTTGAGATGTATTGTTTTTGTTCGAATTCTCGTGGAAAATGTGGAAAACGAGATTTTGCTTCTTGTCATTGCCACATCTGGAATTCATGTGGTTCTCTCACTTTTTGTCCAAAGTGCCACAGAAACACTATTTTCTTGTAAACGTTTAATTTGCAGTTTAATCGCAGTCGCCGTGCCCGATCCTGTTCATGTGCAGATGAACAAACAGTCCTACGATCACATCCCGAGATTCGCACGACTCTGGCCCCGTTAGCTGACATCACCTGCTGTTTTTGACCCGCCCAATAAAAATATGAAACTATGATGCAGAATTTGAATTTAAGGAAAAAAGGTGATGTTTTCGTAGAGAAATACAGTCAAATAACTTTTACCCTGATCAACCTTCTGATAGAAGAGTTGAGATTCATTAAGAACTAAATTAGGTCTTCATTTCAAGTTCAGGATTTTGATTTTCATTAGATTGTACATCGTCATTGTTAATAACATTTATTGGATTGTATTATGGGCCAAGTAGCTGGGGAGAGGGAAGTCTGGGCCTCTCTGCTTAGGTTGCGGTCTCCGTGACCCGAATCCGGATACGCAGCTGAAAAATGATGGATAGATGTTAAATTATTTTACAAAACCCGATTTTTTATTTAGATTTTTCACTCTCAAGTTCACACACGTTCTTTAGTGTAAAGCTAACCAGGATTATTAGCAACACTTGTTCAACTTCTCCTCAATGCAATGATCTAATCAACCAATCACATGGCGGTTGCTTCAGTGCATTTAGGGGTGTGGTCCTGGTCAAGACCATCTCCTGAACTACAAACTGAAGGTCAGAACGGGAAAGAAAGGTGATTTAAGGTATTCTGAGCGTGGTGTGGTTGTTGGTGCCAGACAGGCCGGTCTGAGTATCTCACAATCTGCTCAGTTACTGGGATTTTCACCCACAACCATTTCTAGGCTTTACAAAGAACGGTGTGAAGAGTGAAAAACATCCAGTATGCGGCAGTCCTGTGGGCGAAAATGCCTTGTTGATGCTGTAGGTCAGAGGAGAATGGGCCGACTGACTCAAGCTGATAGAAGAGCCTAACCCTAACCCTCGTTACAACTGAGGAACGCAGGAAAGCGTTTGTGAAGCATCAACACGCACAACCTTGAGGCGGATGGGCTACAGCAGCAGAAGACCCCACCGGGTACCAATCATCTCCACTACAAATAGGAAGAAGAGGCTACAATTTGCACCAGCTCACCAAAACTGGACAGTTGAAGACTGGAAAAATGTTTCCTGTTCTGATGAGTCTCCATTTTTGTTGAGACGTTCATATGGTAGAGTCAGAATTTGGCGTAAACAATGAGAACATGGATCCATCATGCCTTGTTACCACTGTGCAGGCTGGTGGTGGTGGTGTCATGGTGTGGGGGATGTTTTCTTGGCACACTTTAGGCCCCTCCGTGCCAATTGGGCATGGTTTAAATGCCTTGGGCTACCTGAGCATTGTTTGTGACCATGTCCATCCCTTCATGACCACCATGTACCCATCCTCTGATGGCTACTTCCAGCAGGGTAATGCACCATGTCATAAAGCTCCAATCATATCTAATTGGTTTCTTGAACATGACGATGAGTTCACTACTACAACGGCCCCCACAGTCACCAGATCTCAACCCGAAAGAGCATCTTTGGGATGTGGTGGAACGGGAGCTTCGTGCCCTGGATGTGCATCACACACATCTCCATCAACTGCAACATGCTATCCTGTCAATATGGCCGACATTTCTAAAGATGCTTTCAGCTCCTTGTTGAATCAACGCCACGTAGAGAATGAGTTCTCAATCGGCTCATCTGGATAAATAAAGGTTAAATAAATATAATATAGTAAACAGGAGCAGAATTTAGTCATGGAGAAATAAAACTTGTATTAACAACTCATCAGTTTATTGTTTCTGCAGCAAGACTAATGAGAGAGGAGTGTTTGCTAAAATCTCTGAACAGAAAAATAAATAGTGAGCACAAAATTATAACCGTACTGCTCACCAGCCTATCACCTAAACACAATATCAATAAACGGATTGCTGATTTTTTACATTTAAACTTTACTGAATTTTATTTGTCTTGGAAATGCTAAATATAATTCATATGTAGACATTTCTTCCCTCTTGTCACTACTTTGTGCTGCAGTTTGTTAAAAAGGTGGAACCAAAGTAAATAAAATGACCGATTCTAGTCTGAAATATTTTTTATTGAAGAGTAATAAGTTTCAGGTTACTCTCATACTCTAAACATTGAATCAATAATCAGATACAGTTTGCATATGTGAGTTAAATTACGTCTCTAAAGTGTTCAGAGTTACTTCAGGGAGCAGAACCGACTCACTAAAAGTTCCAAACTAAATGATTCAAAAGGCTTTTTATTCGGTGACTCTGTGTCTAAAACACGTACAGGTCTCTGTTCCAGCTGTTTGTTTCCTGTAATTCATCCTTACGCTGTTCAAACTGTCTGTGGTGTTATTTGGAGCTTGGTGAGCCTTTTTGAGGTTGGGTTTCTGAGGGTTTTGGGTTGAGGGTGTCATGGTGCCGGCCCCACCGTAGGCCCGCCAGTCGGTTTTCATCTTACCGTGTTTTTGGTGGGGTTCAAAACCGTTCTGCAGCAATGCATGTGACAGTTTTATAACACGGTGCTTTGAACGCCCCTCTCTGTACTGAAATTTCACGTCATTTAAGGACTGTTACTTCGGGATTAGCTGGTTAGCTTTTTAGCTATAGTTGCTTTTTAATTACAGAAGAAAATATTACATTTAAAAGTATTGATTTAACACCACATGTGGAGCAACCAAACAAAAATATAGGCTGCCTGTTGTGTCTGTTCAACAGATCAATGACTAGCTGCACTCAAAGTTCACAGACTAGTTAGGCCTAGTTATTAAAAGTTTAAGCTAGGCTAGGCAGCTTTATTTGTACAGCACATTTATACACATTTCCATTAGCGAGAATAGCACGAACATTAAAATCAGCGTGGCAGTGCAATTAAAACACACAAATACATTTAGGTTAAATTAAATACACAAATTAATCATAGGTTTAAGAATCAGAAAAAAGTTAAGGGTTGAGCCGTTACCGCGCAGAAGGTGCTGCATAAGAAAACATTCAAAAGCGGATGAAAACATGAAGGTTTTCTCTTGATTTTAAAGGTACCAGAGTTGTTGCACATTTGAGGTCACGAGGAAGCTGATTTCATCTGTGAGCAGCATTATCGGCAAAAGCAGCTTCACCCTGTTTGGTTCTGACCCGGTTCTACCAGCTCAGAGCCCTGCTGGGCGTAGATACTGGAAGGAGATTCCACATGTATTCTTGCCTCATGCCATTAAAGGAGACAAAGTGTCTAAACCAACATTTTCTTGTTAAAAGAGTCCAAGCCCTGTGTGACCTACTTTTTATGTAAATTAGAAAGTTTAAAAATGCCGGAGAAAAACTTCTCTCTCATAAAAACGTCACAATGTCGAGCCCTTCCTCCTCCAATCTGCAGTCTCCAGTGTCTGAGGTCTTCTGGTTTAAACAAACCAATCAGCAAGCAGCTCATTTGCACATAGGGAGGTGTTTCTCAGTGCCAAGGAACCTCGCAGATGTCTTCGCCCCGCCCCGGTTGCCTAGGAGATACGTCATCGGAGCCGCCAAGACGTGTTGCAATGTTAATGTTCTACCGTTCTCCGTTTGTTAGCCGTTTAGCTAGCTGAGTGACGATACATGGGAGGTGTATTGTCGCCTAGCCTTGGTCAATTTATTTTAGGGTTTATGCAGAACTCTCAA